CCCGTCCCTCTGCCCACTTTTCCGTCCGGTCCCGTCTGCAGCCTGACGGCATTTCCGTCATGAGGATCCTGTGGTGCAGCTTGCACCCCTCTGCCTGTCACCCCGCACCGTCCTTCGTCGTCATGGGCCCCCCTTCCTGGAAGGCCCCTTGAGTGACAGCCCCAGTCCCTGGTCGCCACGCCACCTCCAAGCGTCTGCAGGCTGAGCCGCTGCTGCTCGGGGCCGTGCGTCCAGGTGTGGGTTTTAAGTGGGCCAGAAAGGCTGCACAGCGCATAACCCACTCTGTTAACCGGGTTCCGCTGTCGTAGGAAGTGTCAACTCGACAGAAAACTTCACAAACTGTGGCTCCAGGCGGGTCCGGCCGTCACCGTCACGGCCTCTATGGGCGCGGGACGAAAGCTCTTTTTCTCCTACAGCCGGTAGGCGTGGCCACGTGGTGAGAAACACCAGCGACTCTGAAAGTTTGCTCCATCTCCCCCCAAAACGCACCGGGTCTCAGCTTGGTGGGGGGAGGTGCCTGCCTATCATCCGAGCACTGGGGGAGGCTGAGGCAGGAGGATGGCAAGTTTGAGCCCAGCCTGGGCTCCTCAGCAAGACTCTGGTTCAAAATTAAATCGTGAAAAGGGCTGGGGTGCAGCCGCCTGCGACACCAGAGACTATTCCCACACCGGCCTCGGTTGGGCAGAAGCAGCTCGAGGTCCAGCAGCATCTGTGGGGGGCGGGGGCAGCACAGCCGCTGGGAGGTTGGATCAAGAGTGGAGCTCGGGTGCTCAGCTGGGTCAGGCAGCGGATGCCTTGCGTGCCTGGGACTTCCCAGTCCCCAGCTCAGGGGCAGGGCCGCGGGCCGCCAGCCTGAAATAACCCGAGTTATGTGAGGCCAGGCCCAGCTGCACTTCAGCTGTTCCCCAGGGCTGTGCGGGGCAGCTCTGCCGGCTCCTTGGTGCCTCAGGGTCCCTGCACAGGCTCCCAGGGAGACGTTCCTGCCTCTGTCTCCTCAGCTGTTGGCTCGTCTCTGCCTCTCTCTATGTGTCTGTGTGTCCATGTGTGTCCAGGAGTCCGTGTGTCTGTGTCTCCTCTCCTCTCATGAGGGTGCTGCCACTGAGTCCCAGAGGCTGAGGCAGGACAGTCTCATCACATCCTCCTCCGACGCCTTCTGCAGAGACCCAGATTCCAATCGGGTCCCAGGTCGGGGGACACGGCTTTGGGGGCCACCACTCGACCCTGTATCCCCACGTCACCTTCAACGAAGCCTTTTGGACCAGCATTGACATCTGAGAGTTTTCTGTACATGGAGGCACAGGGCTGGGTGACCGACGGCTGGGGTTTCTGGGTCACAGCCATTGGCCTGGGAAGCCACACACTGCTGGTGCGACGCTTAGAGCCGCAAGTCTCAGCTTGAGCTGAAAGTCTGGGGTGCCTCAGTTTCCCCATTTGCTCACCCCTGGCCACATCTTTCCAGGACGCCGTCTTCCCCACCCCAGGGCCTGTGGCTTTTCCACCCGCTTCCCTGGTGTTTCTTTTAAAAACAGGTCCATTGAGGGCCAGGGTTTAGCTCAGTGGAACCATCTGTGCCTGCATCACAAATGCAAGGTCTTGAGCTCGATCCCTGGTACCGGGGAAAAACAGTTCCCTTGAGACCCAGTTCAGACCCCGAGGAGCCCCCACTGGGTGAGCAGGCAGGTCCGGGGCCTTGGGTTCAGCCTCAGGGCTGGGCGGCCGTCAGCTCCAACCCCTCAGAACTGTCCCACCTCAGAGGGGAGCTGCCGTGACCATCCGCGGTCCCTGCTCTGCACCCCGCCTACCCATGCGGTCCCACACGGGGGCGGGGGCTTTTGTGTCAGGCTGCTCTGCTGAACCCTACCTCCTTGAGGCCCATCCACCTTGTATTACGGAGACCTTTGCTCCTTTTCATGGCTGCATAATACTCCACAGCGTGGGTGGACCATGTTCTGTTCAACCGTTCATCCACACGGAAGCCTGGGTTGTTTCTGCTTTAGTGCCGTGCCTAGGGCTGCTGGGAAATGTCACACGCTGTCTTTTGTGTGCACGGATATGGATGTTTTCGGGTCTGGGTGCTGTGTTAACCAGCTTCCTGTTGCTTTATTAAAATGCCCAAGGAAAACAACTTAGAAGAGATGTTGAATTGGGCTTCTGGTCTCGGGGGGGTTCGGTCCGTGGTCGGCTGCTCCAAGGCAGGAGCATCAGGGCAGATGAGTGTGGGGAGGCCAGGCGCTCACATCACGGAGTCCAGGAAGCAGGAGGCCAGGTCACTGTCCTGAGGCGACTTTGTGTTTGTTTATTTGTTTTTCAGGACTGAGGATTGAACCCAGGGCTCCACACTGAGCTCCATCCCCAGCGTTTTTTTTTTTTTTTTTTTTTTTTTTCCTTTTGAGACAAGGTCTGGCTAAGTCCTTAAATTGCCCGGGTTGGATTGGAACTTGTCATCGTCCTGCCTCAGCCTTCCAGAGAGTTGGGCTAGCCAGGGTGCACTGCTGTACTGGACTTGTGTTTTTTTCTTTTCATTTTTTGAGACAGCGTCCCGCTTGGCCTCACACGCCTGAGTTTAAGTGATCCTCTTGCCTCGGACTCCTGAGGGCTGGGCTGACAGGTGTAAGCAGAACTTAGGATCCAGGCAGGCCCGGAAGGCCCAAGGCTGGTACATGGACCCGTTTCTCACCGAATCACAAGTGAATCTGTTTCCACGGAATCTGGACCAAGACCACACCTACGTCCCACCCCAGTGCTAGTGAGGACTCTCCTGTCTCCTGAAGCGTCGCTTCCCGCCATCGGGGCCTTTAAAAGGCGGGCCTGATGAGAGGAAGTGAGGTCACAGGGCGGGGCCTGGGAGGGTATATTAGGAGCCCAGGCGCTCTCCTTATTTCTTTGCTTTTTGGACACCTCGAACCTGTCAGCTTTGCTCCGAGGTGGGACAGACTCACAGAGGGGTGAAGGACAAAGGCCAGCCAGAAATTCCTGCTTATCATTCTAGCTGTTCGGGAGGCTGAGGCAGGAGGACTGCCAAGTTCATGGTGAGATTCTGTCTCAAAATAAAAGTGGAGCTCAGTACATGGCTGGTTCCACAGTGCAGAGCAGTTTCAAGCCACGGACGGAGCTGGTCACTGCAAGGGAGGCAGTGAGGGAGACCAGTAAGCAGAGGCAGGAGAATTTCAAAATCAGCCTCTCGGGGCAGCACCGCTGTCCGAGCCTATTTATTCACACTGGGCCCTGAGCTTACGAACTCAATATGTTCCCACTGGTCGTAACGCGATACTGTTTGTAAGTTTTAAAAGCCAACTTTCCGGCCTGTGTGTGATGGGGTTAAAAAGTAAGAGCATGTCTGAAAAGATGTATCAAACAATCCAGACTGATAAAACTCACTGGATGTGCTCACCCATGCAAGCCATCCAGGCAGCAGGAGGCTGAGGCAGGAACATCTCGTGTTTGAGCCAGCCTAGGTGACTAAGGGAGACCTTGTCTCAAAAGCTAAACAAGGACCGACACGCAGATCAGTGAGGAGGTTCGGATTCCACCCCCAGACCTGCAGAAAGAAACACAGAAAGCAAAATGTAGGCTCACACGGGGCTCCCCAGAAATCTTGTCTGGTGTGGGGGAGGGGTTTCCGGGTGTTTCCCGTTGCTAGGCACTGGTTGCCTTTTTTTCCTCTTTAGCTCACTTGTTGCAAAGCTGATGGAAAAGGGTAATAACAAAATAAAAGCATTGTTTTTAAGCGGCCAGGCCTGGATTAGGTGAAAACCTTTCATAGATGCCTCACCGGGCTGGTGAGGAGTGGCAGTAAAACCGTCTTGATGGAGAGAAAAGCCCTTCAAAGGCCCCTGGTCCTTTGTTCTCTCCCGGTAATCAAGGCCAGGCAGCTGCCCAGGCCTGGGGCAGGCGGACTGGCTGGCCCACAGCAAAGTTCAAACGTCTGCAATGTTTTACCAGGTTTCTCTCTTTTTAAACCAAAGGACTTTTTATCGAGCTACAAACGGGACCCAAAAGCTGGAAGGGGAAAAAAAAAAAAAAAAAAAAAAGGGAAAGCAAATCAAGCCGGGCGGGGTGGGGGGCGGTGTTGGCCCGCCGGACGCAGAGCGAGCAGGGCAGGAAGCGCGGATCCTCCCCAGCCGGGACACAGGAAATCTCTGGCACCGGATTCGCGCACACTTGTGGCTGTTCCGGAGGCCACGGAGGAAGCGAGGATTAGAATAAAGGAGGAACTTCGGGACTTCTTGGAGGCGGAAAGGGGGCGGCAGACAGAAACTGGCCGCGACTTTGATCTGCAGCCGCCCCCCCACCCGGGGCACTTTCCCTTTCTCCGCGGCTCCAGCCGCCCAGGGCCACGGTGCCGGCTGCTCTCCCTCCGCAACTCTCCATGTCTCCCACTTGCCCTGAATACCAAGTGGGGTCGCCTTCCCTGGACCCCCCCACCCGCGGAAGCCCCCGGGGACGCGCGGTGCGAGGAG